GCAGTGCGTACTTAAGAGCTGTACAGGGGCAACAGAATAGACTTACAGAGTTTGTGAGGTTGTCCTTTGCTGATCAGCTCATGACAAGTTCACTGGTTTAAAGTCAGTATTGGTAGTGTTGGTAGGTTAGAGTGTGTTGTATGTAGTAAGTAGTTAAGAGTTGTAGGGAGCAGCTATAAACCTTCAGAGTTTGTAGGACTGCCCATTGTGCATAAAACTTTCAAAGTTTGTTTAACTGAAGTAGAATTTATTGATCATTTATTTTGGTTTTGCCATGTAGTGCAAAACCAAAATATATTGATAATAGATAATCATATTTTAATCATGTCTTATTTTGTGTCCACAGGCTAAAACTAAACTAAAATAAAACAAAACTCACACAAATGTGTTATGCAGCTGTTATTTATCCTTCAAGTAATGCCAAAATATGTATAAATACAAATTCAAACATTATGAGACTTTCTGGGACAACTATGACCACTAAATAGTCACATTACAACAATTTATATGCCTAACATCGACGGAACCAATATTTGGAAGCCGATATCTGACCCAGCAATTTTTTTCAGCACCGATGTCCAATAGCAGTATCCGATCTGTGTTTTAGGGAGCCCGCCTGATGACGTGCGAAAAAAGACATTAAACCGTTTGCTCAAATTACTATTTCGTTCCCACAATTTAGCTCATTCGTTCCCACTTTTTAGCTAAATCACTCCTTGCATCTCTACTGTGTATGGTCAGACTAATAGGCTGTCGGACTATTGGGCTTTCGGACCAATGGGCTGACCTCGTAGTGATGTGTACGAATTGGCTAAAACGTGGGAATGATCTACCTAAAACATGGGAACAAGTTATGTAAAACATGGGAACAAATTACCTAAAACGTGGGAACGAGTTATCTAAATCGTGGGAACAAGTTACCTAAAACGTAGGAACAAGTTACCTAAAATGTGGGAATGAGTTACCTAAAACATGGAAACAAGTTACCTAAAACGTGGGAACGAGTTACATAAAACATGGGAACAATTTAGCTAAAAAGTGAGAACGAGTTAGCTAAAACATGGGAACGAGTTACCTAAAATGTAGAAATGATTTAGCTAAAACATGGGAACGAATTACTTAAAACATGTGAACGATTTAGCTAAAACGTGTGAACGAATTACTTAAAATGTGGGAACGAGTTACCTAAAACGTGGGAACTATTTAGCTAAAACGTGGGAATGAATTAATATGGGAACGAGTTACCTAAAACGTGGGAAAGATTTAGCTAAAACGTGTGAACCAATTACTTAAAATGTGGGAACGAGTTACCTAAAACGTGGGAATGAATTAAGATGGGAACGAGTTACCTAAAACGTGGGAAAGATTTAGCTAAAACGTGGGAACGAATTTCTTAAAACGTGGGAACGAGTTACCTGAAACGTGGGGACAATTTACATAAAACGTCGGAACGAGTTACCTAAAACATGAAAATTATTTAGCTAAAATGTGGAAATGAGTTAGCTAAAGCGTGGGAACGAATTACATACTGCGGAAACGAAATAGTAATTTGAGGCCACGATTTAGTTTTTTTTTTTTCTCGCACGTCATCAGGCGGGCTCCCTAATGTTTCTCTAACAACAGAACCAACATTTTTAGTAACTTCAATTCAGAGCACTCTTACCAAAATCACTACAAATTCAAAAAGGTCTGAAAAATCTGACAATAACAAGTAAAATGTAGAAAATAAGGTCCAGCCAATATGGATTGTTTGGAACCTTTACAATACCGATAAAAATGGCTTTGGAAGCCAATATGAGAGCCTGGGGAAGTAAAAATTCCCTGTAAATCTACAACTGATAACTTGGGTTAATTTAGGCTATATTTACTGTTATTTTGCCTCATATTTTAAGAAAAGTAAAAATATAATCCAGCATGTTGACAGTAGCTGGGCGTGCGTCCTCTGTCTAAAACCCATGGTCACTTTTTAACAATGATAAACAAAACGTACAAACGAAAAATTAATCTCCATCTATCTCAAAAAGGCCAAACACTGTAACCATAGTCTCTGATATATCCAGCCATAGCCTTTAAATGGGGGTAATACGTCACCTCTGCTCTGGAGCTATGAAACACTCGCAGTTTATCTTTGTTTCTATTTGGAGCCTAACAAAAGAAATAAAACAGAACGATGAGATTGGAATGAGAATAAATAGTTCCGAACGGTGGAGAGTAAACCAACAGCTTTCAACAGAGGTCAGACAGCCGCGAGGAGAGGCAGTTAACAATAGTGTAATTACAGCACTAACTATAGAGCTCCAATTGATCCATTTGTCAGTAAAAGAAATGGGAATTAGCCTCCTCAGCAACAGCAGATATCTGTATAGTGCAGATGGCTCCACTGACAAGGGTTTGTTTTTCCACTTGGGTTAAACATGGTAGTTCTGCAGCAGTTAATGAGGACTGTTGGTGTAGTGTTGTTTTCCTAACTAATTTGTTTATCTTCGGGGTTGTAAGAGCAGCAGCAGCGCAAGTAGTCAAGTCAAGCTCCCTCTTTCAAGATAATTGCTCTAACGACCAATACAGATGCACCAATTCAGCTTTCCAATACCGATTTCCCTACTATAGCTTTAGAAACAGGATATCCCCAGGTATAACTACTCCAAATTAAAGACTTTTTAAGACCATTTAAATGAAAATTAAGACCAACAACGCACCCATTATGGGGGCGAAAATCACCAGATCCAATTCGCTACTTTTTTCTCACACTTCGAACCCTGCGGCTAATAAAATGATGTGGCTAATATATAGACGGATTATTTGTTTGGCACATTGTTCAATCATATGTAAGGTCTACGGTTTCGCAACAAAGCGGCCCGAGTGCAGAAAGCGCCACTATCTGTGCGGTTACACATGGATCTAGGGTTAACATGAAGCTAGCGATATTCTCAGCTCACTCAAATAGTTTATTGCCATGTGATAAAGTAAGTTATGATGCTAAATAAACATTAGTGAGGGGGATACGTCTTACTCGAATGCGTAAATGACGAGCAAAAACGTCTCAGACTTCAGTAGCTGGACATCCACTCATACCTAATTGATAGAACTAGCCTAGCCCCACCAGGGAGCCTGAAATCTGCTGAAATCCTACAAGACAGATTTTTAAGGCCTTAATTTATGAACATGAAATTTAAGACTTTTTTAAGCCCCCGCAGCTACCCTGAAGAATATACTGATATCAACCGATACCAGCACAGAGACTGAAAATAGAACCTAGGGTGTAACCATCTACTTCTTTTATACAAAGATAAAAATAAGTCGGAACTGATCCAAATGTGAAATGTAGCTGTTATTTAGCCCTTTCTACCAAGTACCAAGTATGACCAGTATATAGTTTTATTACATAAATGTATACATCCAATCTATAACTCGACCTAAATATGCAGGGTTTGTGTGTTAAACATATGTGAATGAAACATAACACAACGCCAGGCCTATTTGTGATGAGGAAACAACATTTTAACAATTCTAAAAATAGTATAATATGGTTCTTTTAACTTTTCAACAGATTATGCCATGTTTTCTATAGTTCTATAAAATCACTGTTAGGGGTAAATACGTTGCCAATAATTTCTTAGTATGTTCTTCTATCCGTTAACATTTTTGGAAAAGAAATTCTACAAGGGAAGTGGTAAAATCTCCATCTTTAACAGTGCATTAACACAAAATTAAAATATTAAAAATAAACAAATTCAAAACAACTTTAAAACCACCATTCAAACACTTAATTATCAGGGTTTGGCTAACTGCACTTCATTATCTCCCCCACACAGTCAGGCCACTTTAATTATGACTAATGGCAGAATTAATTGCAGTGTGCGCTTTAACTGGGCCAATTTTTAAATAAAAGATAGACAAATTGGACCTCCTTCTCATTTGGCCCCAAAGGCTAAATGACTACACCACTGGCTGTGACACACAGACAGATCTGATATGGTCACAGACAGAAGAGGAAGGATGCTGGAGTGGTGGTTGTGAGGTCGTCATGGCGATGGGAGGTGAGTGGTGCATGCTGGGTGACATAGCACAAATCCTGCAGTGTGCCGAGTGGATCATTGTAGCGGCTTATCTTCGCGGTCACTTGGTTCAAGGTGCTAAGCTGCATTGATTGGAGGAGCAGCCGAGTGGACAGGGAGGAGAGAAAGATGGAAGGAGAATCTATAGAGGATGTATGGGGGTTCTACCTGTGAACTCAGTGACATATGTGGTGAAGTTAAAGCAGGAAATGGTGCCTACTTGAGCAGGAGACAGTTTTGGAATTTTGGATTTTGCTAGTCAATAAAATGTATTGGTTTATATACAGTTGTAATGTAATTTTAGTTGTCATGATTTTGGAAAGTCAATATTTTTTGTTGACCATAGTGGGCCAGACCAAAGAATTTTTTTAGGCCCGAGCCCCTACAGGGTGTAGGGTCTATTGCGTTCACTGCGATGAGCACATGGACAACGATGAGCACATTGGCGTATGCAAGAGGACAACATGCAGCTTCGTCCTCTCATCAAACTTGGCCCAAAATTCAGAAGTGCCGAAAAATCTTGTAAAATATATGTTGTATAAAAAAATTGTGACACTGCGCCAGCTGGAAAACTCAAAATACATTGTGCCTATGCGATGTCCCGACATCAACTTTGTCATAGAGCCATGAAATTCAGTACACACATTCGTCATGTGAAGACAAACAAAAATTATTATTATGGCCATGCCTCCTGGCAAACCAGAAGGCGGCCTTCTTGGATTGAAATTGTCTAAATGCTGAGTCAGCATTTTTGCTGACATTGCATTTGAACAAACTCCTCTGTATGCGCTTCACCCACAAGGCTGAAAATCACCGTACATCATCTAGAGAAGTGGGGCATCAAAAGTTAGCCAGTTTATTTTGACTAGTGCAGAGCCCGCAGAAGCTCTGCACTTTTTTTGTGCACATGTAAATGCTCAAAATATGTTGATAAAAACCACTGACCAGCTGTTGTCTTGTTCTATGGGGGAACACTCTCTGCAGCATGTCCATACACAGACTCTTGTAGTTGGGGACGTCCTGGGTGTACTGTGAGACTATAGAAGTGAACTGCAGGTGGTCTTCTTCAGGCCAACCACAAAATCTGAAAAATACCCGCACAAGTACAAATATAATAATAATATGGATAAATTGTTTTTTTTTAAATAAATTTTGCATGTATTTATTTATTGTATTTTTTTCTTAATTTATGGTTACGTGCATGTCTTCACACATCAGAGGAAAAATGCACACCACATATGTGTTTGCTCTGGCTTCAAAGTGCACTGCGTAACTTTTCTGGTGGCAGGTGCATGACCTGCTTGCCTTGGATGTTCCACAGTATGTCTTTAAATGTGTCACTGTCCATAGAGACAAGCAGGTGGTGCCATCAGACCATGTTACAAGTCAGATCTGTGGAAAGACAACCACGCTATAAGAAGTATTTTTTCAAGATATTTTTGAGTAATAAAAAACCTATAATGAAATAAATGCTACACAGGATGCATATTTTTATTGTATACTGTGGACCATTCCAGGCAAAGTAGTTACATCTCCATGGAGACCACCGCTATAGTTTTTAGCTTAGTGCAAATGGCTTCACAAGTAAATTTTTGTAAGTACAGCATGATTACTTCAAAAAGGAGTTATCTTTTTTATATGCAAGTACATTTAGGTCAATCTAAATCAGGGGTCTCCAGCCTGTAGCTTGGGAGCTACCAGTAGCTCTCCACCCCCTTCCAAGTCGCTTTCCAAGGGATTTCGGAATTACACATATTGTCCTGAATAAGTAAAATTTGATAAATGAAATGCATATTACCATTGTACATGCATTAGTTTGATGCCTAACTTTGTCCACTAATAAACAGATAATGGCTTATGTTTTACAGGCATCTAAATGTACCTTAATTAAGGCTCGCCGTGGCACTTAAATATATTCCATTTCTTGTGACCGGTAAAATTAGTAGCTCTCTGGCATTTTCGTTTTGTAAAGGTAACTCACCAGAGGAAAAAGGTTGGAGACCCCGATCTAAATATTATACAATAGTAAAGCCATAGCTATCTCCCTATGGATGGTAAATAATATTTTTACTGCATCTGTTTCACTCGTAAAGGCCTTTAATGCAGAAGTGTTTACCATGAAAGCATCTATACCCTTCATACCTCTTAGACTCACCTGTCAGTCTGATCCATCTTCTCTTGTAGGCTCTGCAGTCTCCCTCTGTACCGCTCTGACAGTGAATGGAAAGCTTCAATCAGGGACAGTTTCAGCTCTGGGTACGGACAGTCTGCCTCCACAAGCACCCAGGGGACATCCTCCATCACCTCGGCATCCAGACACCCTCTCAACATATCCTGCAATTTGAAACGAATTTGAAAATATTCCAAAATGTAAATTGCAAATTATATGATACAAAATGTCAGGAAAAATACCTCCAAGCCCAGAGCTGTAATTTCAGCCTCCACCGCACGGTACTCATGTTGAAGTTTTCTGGTGATGTCAGCCTGCTGTTCTTTGACGAAGTTTATCTGCCAACATAAAGATAAAACTGGTCAAATTTTATAACAACTACACCTAATTAGCCTTAAAGGTGCACTGTGTAACTTTTTGTTTGGGAGTCCGTCACCTGCTTGTTTTTATGGATATGTCTTTGCACTTTGGAATGTTCCACAGTATGACATTAAACAGTTCTGTCATACATTTATTTAATTGCAGGTGGTGCTATAGCTCAAAAATACATTGAAAAACAGGCATTTTGACTGTGAGTGGTGTTGCCTCTCCACAGATCTGACCTGTAACTTGGCCTGGTTTGGTCTCCATGGACATAAAAAGGTTTAATATATATCATAGTGTGAAACATTACTGATAAAGCAATAACATCTCCATGGACACGAGTAATTGACAGACCCAGCACCAGAAAAGTTACACAATGCACCTTTAATCATGCATGAAGTAAGACTTAATTAATTAACAAATAGCTTATAAATAGTTCAAACTAATTGATTATTACCGTAACCATAACTCCCCAAAGACCCTGTAGCCAATGTTTTTCATGTAATTAAATAAAATCGGTTTTGCTCCAGTACACATGAACTGTAGAAGCAGTCTGCATTTAACTACAGAGCCTTTTTATTCTCTGCAAAAACAGGAAGTGTACCAATAGCATGCTAGTTGTTGACGGCAAAACTTTGCTTATAAAAGTCGTGAATAGTGCTTATAAACACATTGTGCTGAATAGTTTGGGTGCACGAAATGCAAATGCAAATGAAACCAAACAGTTTAAAATGAATTAGTTCTGTTTTTCATGTTTTTAAGACAGTAAAAATCAGATACAGGGAGTGCTGCATATTGAAAAATTGAGATATGAGGTGTTAGGCAACCCGCAAAAATTTCAGAACGTATGGAGATCCATTCTGGAGCATTTGAATTTGTAGTGGACCCCTGAAAAAGAATGTGGCAATGTTGTTATATGATGCTGTTGTGGACATTTATGCTCTGTGCTTTTTTGTATGTGTGTGCCCCATTGTGTGTTTGTGTGAGCGTTTTTTTTTTCTATCTATTTTATCTTTAATGTTATATTTCACAGATACAGAAAGTAGACAGCTCTACTCAACTCACTGGTGCTATATTTTAACAGAGGTGAATCTTACATTTCAGTCACTTTTTTCATTGATAGATTCGGAATTGACAAAAATATGAACTTTTAAATACTCTTAAACCACTTTTTGGTTTTACACATACACATTACATACACATTCATATGCTTAAACAGACATGATCAAAATAAATAATGCAGAAAACGTAAGATTTGATGGGCCTAAATCATTAAACCAAATACAATAAATGCCTCACTTATCACATATAGACTACATTCAAGCAGTTGGCTAATCATGTTTTTATTGAAATGTTTAAATTTACTTAATAATTAAAAGTAAAAAGTTAAGTTTTTGTTGTTCTGTGGCCAAAGAAAAATTTAAATTGAATCAAATCGTGACAAAACAGAATGATCCCACCCCCAATACTACAATAAAATATACAGAACAGATTTTATAAATTTTATATATATTTTGTTAGTTTTTTAATGCAGGTAAAATAAGTTGGCAAATGTTAGGCGTTACACAATGCACCTATAATCATGCATGAAGTAAGACTTAATTAATGAACAAATAGTTTATAAATAGTTCATTCAAAATTATTCAGGCTAACGAATTGATTATATTATTATTGATTATTTTATTATTATTTTTTCTTGTTATTATTGGGCTGCTTTATTTACAAAATTATGTTTAGTTTTGTTTAATTATGTAAGTCACATAGAATTTGAATTTAAATGTAGTGATTTATTTTTGTTTATTTAATTTTAGTTTATTTTAATTGTATTTGATGCTTACAGAGTATTTTAATGACTATTTGGCACCAACGGTGAACTTGTCCTTGTCCTGTTTTTTTTTTTTTTGAGTGTTTGTTCTATACTGAAAATGCTAATAAATAAAGTTATTTTTTTTAAAAACAGATAAGAGCACCTTTAACTATTTCTATTTAACTTAATTTTGGTCATTATGAATTAAGTGTGTCTTCATGCTTCATTCAGTCTAATTAAAGTGTAGCCATTATAAAGTGTAACCATAAAATCTTGTACTGGTCCCTGTGGTCTCTCTTGAATACATTATACTTCTCTATGAAATATCCAGAATGTAAATGTAAAAAAAAAACAGTTGAACCTGATTATTATCATCAGCATTTTAACAATATTAATTTTTCCTGCCCCCATCTGTGTTATACATACTAGTACATACATATTATTAATCTATAGAATGTTGAGATGTCACCTGAAACCAACACCAATAAGCTCTGACAGTGTAATTGCACAATAAAATCTGTTATAATGTGCGAAGCCAGGAGCAGTATGGCTTCTTCTTGGACCATATTGCGATCTGTTCCATTTAGCCGTATTGAGCGTGAGATGATTAAGCTAATTTGCAGACAGTTCCCAGGGGCACAGGGAGAGGGTGGTGCATGCTAAAGTCTAGGCAGCCTCCTGTTTTTCATTATCAGTTAGCCGGGATGGTACAGCGTGTCAGGAGGAAGTGCCATTGCTTTGTATTTGTTCACCTTTGAGATCCAGGAAGTGAGGACTGGCTAATTTAGTTCATTAAGCGTCCACAGCGCAGGAAGCTCATCTGGAAAGGGCGGCCGGTCATGAGAGCAGGATACAATTACGTTCAGATCATCCAGATAATTGTATAATAATGTATATATTTACATTCCTGGAGACTTGATTTAAAGGGTCCGTATTACACTATGTACTGCTCTATGTTATAATGTTGTTTCCTCATCACAAACATACCTGGAGTTGTGTTTTGTTTTGTAACTTTGCAGATTTAGACTGAGTTCTTTTCCACCTTGTGATGTCATGTGGTAATACAGGAAGCGCTCCACTGTGTTTTTAAACTCCATACATCTTCGCTAGAATCATTTGGATAATTTCAGACTTCTCTGCTGACTTTAAGGTAAAAGGTAGCTGTTAATTTGAAAACTTTTTGAGTATTTTGAGCTTTGGCGATAAAGACAGACTAATAATAAAGGATTACTCAAACATTTGTGAATAAAACAACTGTAGGTATGTTTTTGATGGGGTAACAACATAATAACATGACTTAAAGATAAAAAATGTCAGTTGTTGTTTTCTGGAGGCTGCATGATTCCATGGAAATAGAAAATAAAAACTATACTTTGTCTTAAGTTACACTGTGGAATATTATAGCCAAAGGAACAACATTTCCATTGCCGAAGCAGGAGACGGCCCCTCTTCAAGGCCAAAAAAGGGTCAACTTTGTAGAGATGTAAGCTCACTCAGAGGAAAGGTACTTGTTTTTCAGAGCAATAAACACAACCAAAATGAAAAAGATGTTGTTATTTTAGTCTATCTTTCAACTAAAAGGAGCATAGTATAGCTTTAGGTTTGACAAGCTATTGGTTTCTATTGTAGAGATAATTAGATGGCGTTAACACCACAAACACCACATCTTACTACTATAATACCAGGGTTACTGTATTTATACACTCTGAGGTTTGAAATAAGAAATTACCTTGAAGTACTTTGTTTGGATACTACATATATTTTAGATACTTCACATCAACGTTCACTGTATTTTCTTGCGTAAATAAAACATATCAGCAAATATCACCTAACTTTCCTACACTTTTCTTTTGTGATAATGCTCTTCTCCTCCAATCACAACAGGAATAATTTTGCGAGAAAAAAAAAATTAAAACAAAAACAATTATTTTTAAATGAATATCTCTGATTGTTCACAAATTGCAAAATGAACATCCAAAATGCTAATTTACTTAATTTTCACAAGCGGACCAGTTCATTTTAATTTTGTAGTTAGTCTGGTGTGATTATTTTCACAGGAACACAAAAATGTTTTCTATAACCTGATCATTTTCCAAACTCAATTTCCTATTGCAACTTTATGTAACTGTTTATTTGACCACAATATTTTTACTGATATGGCCAGACACACATCATTCCCCGAGAGTTAGGAGGTACATTGGGACAGAGATAGGATCAGGCTTTGCACCCACAGTGACTAGAAGATATGGAAGGTAACAGCAAGTTTTTGCACAACTACAGAATACTAAAGTTACATTCTGGGCCCATATTACGTTGTTTTCTGATCTACATTATAATGTTGTTTCCTTATCAATATACCTGGAGTTGTGAGCTTTTAAGCCATGTTATAATGTACACAATGTCAAGAAAACACGAGTTAATTTCGTGTAATATAGGAACTTTAAACATTAATCAATTTTTTTTTTTTATAACGAAGCATTTGCAAAACTCAAACATGAAAAGAGAAATTTCATGAGGGAGATGCTTTATTGTATGTTTCTAGTCTGTAGCATGGAGATTGGATGAGAGTCAATGTGGGGTTGTGGGAAAAAAAAATCCTAGGCAAACACAAAATACAAAATGGCTGCTCCCTCTTTAAAGACACCTGCTTAGTTCTTAATCTCCCCATTCAAGTGTGTGGTTTACCAAAGGGTTTTCTAAGTTGAAGGTTTATGAGAAAAGCAGCAATAAACAAGAGCCTGAAGAGGGGTGGAAAAAAAATGTGAGAAAAGCTATGAAAGGTGGTTAGATTTGTTGGGGTATTTTCAAAAGTTCAATGTTGAAATCTGTTTTATTATAGCAGGAAGAAACAATTCATGGGGTTACTTTATTTTTCTTGCTTATAGTTTAAGGACCAAATACAAAAACAATACCACAATGCTTGTTTCTACACATTTATCATTTTTAGTCTGTTTTAAAGTTTGTTGGCAAGATCACTTCATCATAATATTCCAAAGTTCCAGCAAGAGCTTATTTGCTTAGAAAAGATAGTAGTGCCATGGAAGGTAATGGCTTCCCAGTCCTGCCACAAGGGGTCAAAATAAATTATACTGTATGTACCAGCACAGAAAAGATGGTTTTTAAATTAACACCTGCATGGGACTGAAGCAGATCAAAATCGTGAGGATAAAACTTGAATCATGAATAAACTAGAACATCTAAACTTGGATTATTTCAGGAGTAAACAGGATTTAACAAGAAAAATCTGTGGGATTTGAGGCTCATGGACATATGAAGTGTTGTATGCCTGGTTTGGAATTTGAAGGAAATGTCCAAGGGTACAAAACGATGACGCGGTCAGTAAGATGGATTCTCACAATATTTGTGAATTCACAAACTGGTGCAATTGCCCAGTTAACCAGTGTTTCAGACCAAACACAGGACTGTATTTAGTCTGATTCATCAGCCGGTTTCACTTTGTGGAAACGGTCTGACCTCACAGCATTAGAATTTGTTCGCTCGCCAGTATGCAGGTACTTTTTTTATTTAACCAATCAGTGCTATTTGGTCGAGATGTATGTGATGCTCCGCTAATGAGGGCTAAATGGTATATTAAGCTTTTCCAAATCCCGTAGGAAGAAGCGCAATAATGTCCTTCCCCTTGATAAAATTCACCAAATATTCTCTTTGTTCCGGCTTTAAATCCTTGATCCCGGGAATCGTTGCCAACACAGAATTTATGGCTCTTCGCAGATTGGCTGGTGCCCGGACTCGCACTTCTGGGGTTCTTGCAAACCGTCTACTGTATTCTGATTCCTGACCTCGTCCCTGGAGTGAAATGAAATTGAGCGGAGGCACTAGGTGAAGCCAGCATGGCTAGGGCTGCATTGTGGTTTGGTTAGAAGTCAAAGGTGAAGCGCCCAAACCAACCAACACATGGTGAAGCAGGTGTCGTACTTCTGGTTCTGACTGATTAATCGACAAACTCAAAGTGGATATTGCACAGATGAAGGGAGAGAGGGTGTGTGAAGTTAAGGTTTCTCCAGACAGCTTTTAAAGGTGTTAAAAGTTGGTCTTAAAACTTTGTCAGCTGGCAGTTGACTCCATTCTGGGACGGTGCGTTAAAAAGCATATTTTAGCGAAAATATAGAGAATTTTTCAGAAGGCAAAAGCTTTGTGAATTTGTGGATGGAAAAGATGTCAGTGCTTTTCTCTCAACTGGATTGAACAAAAGTTTGATTTCTCGGCTTGTTGAACTCTTGTGATGCTTCGACCAATCAGATTTACATATAATATCAGTCTGGTGTGAACCACATTAATAAAACAGTGGAGAAAACAACCTCATTGCTGGCTGTTGTTTGTTGCTGTTGAGTTGTAGCTAGCAGGTGTACTTACTGTAGCCGGTTACTGTACCTGCTGCATGACTTGCTCCCAGCCGGACTCATCAGCGCTGAGTGTCTGGTCCAGTCCTTCACTCAGTCTGAAGAGCAGGTCGTCTCTGAGCTGAAGAACAGGGAGCACCGTGGCCCTCCTGAAGGCCTCCCTCTCCCTCTCCAGACTCAGCTCTTAACCCCACAAGCACAAGTTATTCAGAGAGCACTAGAACAGCATTATATAACAGTGGAGTGTATGCAGATAAACTGTGGTTCACCGTATTCTTGAAGGGAGAAAATGGCTGTATCATTTCTGTCGCTCGGTCTGATTTCCTGCAGAAAGTCCTGGATTTTGTCCTCCATCTTCCTCCTGCCAGACGAGATGGACATTATATCATATAGATTATCGTTATTATGCATTGATACTTCCCTGGGGGTTGATGTACTGTAGGCGCTGCTCTGTCTGACACTTTATCAGACTTTAAATCTCATATGTTAGCACAATCTGCCCAGAAGGAACTGACTTAGTTGGAACAGCAACAGGTGTTGATTTGTGCTGTTAAGCAAGTCTATCACACATACAATTACAGTCACAAGTTTTTCAGTTAGTCACTCTCACCAGTTTTGTTGAAAATCAAACACCAAGATAGAGCACAGGACCAGAGCACTATTGATCACAGGCTCCTGAAAATGTGCTGTTTAAATCCATTTTGTATTTTTTCTTGAGCTTTCAGACAATCTTATAACCTTTTTGACTGTGTTTGCTAATGTGTGCATTGTGTCACCATGGTAACTCCTAAACATTCCACCAATAGAGATACATGTAAAACACCCCCAACATAATGGCCATACCAGCTTGTCAAAGCCTGATCCTGTCAGATCTCAGAAGCTCAGCAAGGCCGGGTCTGGTTAGTACTTGGATGGGAGACCACTGGGAAAATCAGGTGCCACAGTGGGCGCCAGTCATAAAAACTGTTGTTGTATCCTTAGGCAAGGCACTTCACCCTGATTACCTAGTATAAAAGTGGTGTGTGTGTGAGTGATGGTGGTGGTCGGAGGGGTCCATGGCACAGATTGGCAGCCTCTCTTCTGTTAGTCTGCTCCAGGGGCTGTGGCTACAGTAGTAGCTTACCACCAGGTATGGAGTGAATGAATAAAGCTTTGTAAAGCATCTTTGCGTGTCCAAAAAAGAGCTATATAAAACTGATGCATTATTATTATTATTATTGCAAAGTATCACTGTGTTCCACTTTGATTTACATAAGTATGTATAAAAAAATGGCTTGACCAGTCAGGTTACCCTCCAAAAATGACTTTTCACATGAATGTCTGTAACAACTGCACACATTATAAACAACAATAAATGAAACATGAGCTATGTGGAAATACAGAATGATGAAATCATTGCTGGTAAAATGTATTCCCTCAGGTCAGGATTTTGTCTATGACTTGTGGTAAAATTCCATCAGTGCATATTTTCTAATTGACAACACAAGAACAAAGACAAGCATACCATTGTACTGTACGACTAGTCTCTGTGTACACAATATCTGAACCATCAAAGAAGATTAGGCAGCTTTCCTGGTAATGTCATTAAAGATGAATTATGGAACTTTGGTGAAGGGTCTGCCACCTGCTTGGAAATGTTATTGCTTTGCCTGGATTTTTTATTCCATTACACATTAAACATATCTATCTCCGTAGAGACTAGAAGGTGGCGTCATCAGTCTAAGTTACAGGTAAGATTGGTGCTGATAACAAGGCATAAAGTTACATAGTACACCTTTAATTTACCATAATAGCATACTGGCTCCCACCTTGAAAGCACCTGTGAATATAATGAAAATAATAATGATAATGAAAATCCGACCCTCAGGCAACCCGTTATTCATTCACAGTTTGCCGTCTTTATAAGAACATTGTTTCCTAGTACATTTTTCAGCAAATTCGTTTTTGCATGAACCCCCCTGCAGTTTGATTGCAGCTTAGGTCAGATACATGGAGATGAGAGGATAAACAAAAATACTACTAGATAATAATGTTGTCACGATACTAAAATTTCAAACTCAATTTCGATAATAAGGAACAGACTTGATACTCAATACCAGTTCCAATACCACGACAATAAAATGACAAAAGAATGTAATTTCCATATTAATAGTAGTACTTTCTTTTATTTTTAACATCTATTAGTCAGATTTTTTATATTATACTATATACATAATGAATCTCAGCCACTATCCACTCTGCACACAACACTCTCCCCCATAACTCATCAACATTATAGAGTCATACTTTGTTGTCTCTTGTTTGATGGAGCCTTTGTAAACCCTGGGTAATTGAACTGGCTTAGCAGCATGAGGAGCGGTGGCCTATCTTTATGACGGGGCTCATTATCAAGGCTGTATGCTAGTGTACATCATTAACCTTGGCTAGCGCGCGCAGACAGCATCATAGACCGGCTGTACCCAAGAGCTAGTGGTGCCCTTCTCTCTCCACAGAGCGTGACGGTGGTAGCCTTAGCCCAAGAATACACAAGCTGTACGTTATGCGATTTTCTGAATGAATAATTTAAGGATTATCTGATGTATTTCACAAAATAAATGAAAGGCGGTGATCGATTTGGGTTTAAAAGTAATCCTCGCAAAAGTTGGACAATTTTGCAGGGGTATTAAGTTAAGGACAATTTCAGAGAATGCCAGGCCAAGTTATAGATCTCATCTGTGGAAAGGCAGCCCGAGTAAGAATACATGTTTTTCAACTATTTCTTTTTCTGATTCATCAGCCAATTTCACTTTGTGGAAACTGTCTGGCCTCGCAGCATTAGGCAGATGGCAAATGGCAGATGGGTACTTTTTTAATTTAACCAATCGCTACCATTTGTTCATGATGTATGTAATGCACCAAATCCCATAGGAAGAAGGGCAATAACGTCTTTCCCCTTGATAAAATTCACCAAACATTCTCTTTGTTCCAGTATTAAAACCTCAATCTTGGGAATCGTTGCCTACACAGAATGTATGTCTTCGTCTACATCCATCTCGACCGCTTTGTTTACTGTTGTGCTGTACCACAAAAGCGCCCAGACCTAGTCGCTGGAGAGAAATGAAACTGAGCAGAGGCACTAGGTGTCGCCAGTCTGGCTACCTGTAAAGTGCTTCATCATTACAATTAACATAAGAATGCAACTGAATATTACACTCACAAAAACACGTGTACAATATTTTTACTATTACATCTATCGATAGGGTTGAATGAGAAATAAAAGACTGCAAATCTGTGGCAATGGCCTCTAAAACTAGGCATGCAGATTATGATACTGGTATTGAATATCGGTGCCAATCCAAGTTGCAGGATCACGGATCAGTTCTATGATATCAGTTCAGCTGATATTCTGGTTGGACTCTTTATAGATGGATGTAGGCCCAGGGTATCTCATGATATTTGAACTTTAATTCATACAAATCTGTTCAGGATTCATAAGAGTTACTCTGTTACACTGATATTGGTTCATATTGGATATTAGATACTTAAAGACATAGTATTGATATTGGTATCAGAACTGAAAAGCCTGGATTGGTGCATCCCTATCTACAACCACCAGCAATAACTCCACCACACCGCATTATGCTGCTTCCAGGCAACTGAGAGGTGAGTTATTTCCCACTTGGACATGAGTTCTGACCTCCGTGTTTCAGCTGAATGCAGGTATCTAATGCGTAGGTAAAGGCTGAAGAAATTACATTAAAGAAATGTCTTTCACAAGTTAAATGACAGAATACTGTTGGATTTAACCTGTACAAATATTTACAACATTTATATGACAGTTAAGCACACAGAGCACTGTTTAATACCATGTCACAGCTTATCTCATATAAGAGGGTGAAGTGGGAGTCCTCCGATCATCTCCAAGAATGCAAGTAGGAATTTACTGTACACTGGTCAGAATGTATGGTCATGTTAGAATACCATATTAATAACGTACAGGTTGACCCCATTAAATTACTGATTATTGTGTTCGCTCATTAGTCATTTTTTCAAGTTGGGTGTCTTGCCCAAGGACACATCTGTAGTCCAAGTTGGATCAAACTATTTTCAAACTTGGCAGAAACCAGTCAGGATTACATCTTTTGAGGACTTAACGATTGTGAGACGGGCGAGGACATTACTTAACTTTTCTAACATTAACGCCCAAGAATTCGTTACTTCAACCAGTAATGTTTCATCCTTGCCCTTTTCTGTTGTGGTACTTTTGAGCCTGTTTTTGAAGCTGCTTTTGGCCGGGGGCTCAGCTGAGATGTGTGGATCTTAAGTGTGACGGCTGCGTGTTGTAATAGTAGATAGAGAAAAGTGCAGCAGATAATGTCAGGGCATAATCGGACTGGAGAGGGGTGGGGTGGGAAGAGTGGGGGTCTTACACTGTGCTCTGCAGCCTGGGGCACTCGGAGCTCCACACCTGCCTGTGCTGGCGAAGGATCGACTTCTCCTTGGTTACCTTGGCGGCGCACAAGCTCCTTTGAACCTGCAAGACAATGTAATCGAAGAGTTATCCTTGAAATGGGATACACCGGTGAAAGAAACCAACGCATCTCTGAAGTGGCTGCTTTTAAATCCACTCTCAGAACAATTTGAGTTATGGTTTTATTCATGGCTTTATAGTGAGAGTGAGAATAAAATAATATACGAGAGTGAATACAGGGCACAAATTGAACCTTCATATAACGTAAAGGTGATCTGTGATAAATGGTAAATGGTCAGATTTTTATACAACGCTTTTTCACCTTCAAGGCACTCACAGCGCTTTACATCAAGGCACGACTCACTCATTCACACACTCGCATGCTCATACACCAGAGTACACAGATACTCGGGGCAATGTGGGTTAAGGGTCAACGACACAACAAAAGTATTCATCTTTGGGAGCTGGAATCGCACCAGCAAACAGTGGATCTGACCACTCTACCAGTGTTTACGTTGCAAGCAGGATTCGAACCACCAGCGTTATTGGGCAAACACTGTACCAACTAAGCTACTGTGAAATTTGTAAATTGTTCTCAAAATTTTACATTGTATTACAGGTCAGAATGAACAAGTATATCCAATTTCAAGATTGGCCATGGCAGCAGAAAAGGGTACATGCCACAAAAATAAACTAATACAACAAATAAGTGATAGAAATACTGTAGCTGTGTGGAATTACAATTAAAGGTGCTCTGTGCATCGTAACTTTTCTGGTAAGAGTGTGCCACCTGCTTGTCTCTAAGGAGATGATATTGTTTTGTAGTATGGCAGAAAACATATCCATCCTTTAATATAATTGTTTAACACATATGGTATGGTAAAGGAATGTAACGAAACTAGAATATTATGGTATGTCAACGTAGCCAGGTTGGCGCCACCAAGAACCTCCATTCAATTTCATTTCTTTCCAGCGACTAGGTCAGGAATCAAAATACACTAGATGGTTTGCAAGAACCCCAGAAGTGCGAGTTCGGGCACCAGCCAATCAGCGAAGAACCATACATTCTGTGTTGGCAACGATTCCCAAGATTGAGGATTTAAAGCCGGAACAAAGAAAATGTTTGGTGAATTTTATCAAGGGGAAAGACGTTATTGTCTTCTATCTTCCTATGGGATTTGGGAAAAGCTTAATATACCAGTTAACCGTAGAGACGCATTAAATACGTCATGACCAAATAGCAGCGATTGGTTAAATTAAAAAAGTACCCACCTATCGTTGAGCGAACGAATTCTAATGTTGTGAGGTCAGAAGGTTTCCACAAAGTGAGACCGGCTGATGAATCAGGCTAATGTCAACAGTGTCACAATACATAAAATTTTCGATACTAAGGAATAGACTCAACACCAATTCCAGTACCAGAATAATTAAAAACACTTTAAACAATAGAATGTGATTTTCAACATTAAATCATAGCACTTTTCTTATTGTTACTACGCAGTCTTATTTCCCTATAATCATTTAGTGGTCCAGGTAGGTTCCATAGTGGTCCATGGGCGTATACTAGTCTATGTGCTCTTATACTTGTTCTGATACAACTCAAGATCATTCTAAAGCCATTCAAAAAGTTTCATTGCAGTCCTTTTTTAGTATCGATACCTGCTCAAATGAGTATCTAGTATCGATACCAGTTTTAGCATTGATTAGTATCTGACTTTTTAATACGTTTGACAATCTTAATGCCAACTATTTATTCAAACATGTACCGAGGTAAAAGCACGCTACCACTACTAAAAAGACAAAAAGGTCAGATAACAGCAGCATAGCAGAATAATCAAGCAGAAGGCGTCTGACAAGCGCGGGGCACCATTATGAAGAACAGAGGTGGCTGCATATTCTAATGGGCTCTCCTCATTTGTTTCCTTTTATAATAATGAGAGAACAAGTATGTCGGTCACAGCACGCCGAGCACTGATTCCCCATGTTTCTTTGCTTATGTTTCCACCCACAGGTCACTGGTTTAGATAATTGCACTAAGCCAATCTCACGGCCACGTTTGAATTTACAATGCGCTGCTGCTACTGTCGACTCGGTATTATTATAAGCTTTATGGGGCTTCTGTTTTTTACGGCGAGCCTGGGTGTTTGTGATAATTCATACTGATCACGCTATTACCCACAATGCATACAGAAGGACTCTACTCAGTTCGCCATATTATAACGGATGATTAAACAGGTATAGAATTGTTTATCAGTCATATTGATTCGTTGTAGGGACATAACGCTTGGGAGGGAGGGGAGGTGTTCCCTGCATCTATATCTACGGCAGAAAGTTCGGCACTTACTATGGTGACACAATGCACACAGGCAAGTACATTTTTAAATTGTCAAAGAAAGAAAGAAACTGTGCACACTGACTTCCTGCTTAGGCTGCCTCTGTATCTTATCACACGTTTTACTTGTACTTGTCTGTTGGAACTGCTAAATGTTTTGATGCACTTTTAATATTGCTTATTTATTATTGTGTTTTTTTTTATCTCTCTTGATCACTGAGCTTCGAGGAGCACATTTCGTTCTATCATGTGTTTCTCTCGCATGCTTGAATAACAAATAAAGAACCTTGAACCTAATGTGCACTTTTTTTCCTAATTTGTCCACGATCCGTTAAATTTTACTGCTGTTCATATGAATGTTGTAACTTTATGATAAACTGCTGCAGGAGTCTCTTGTAAAAGGTTTTTAATCTCAATTAGACTCTTTTTCCTAATTTGAAAAGGTTGAAGAAAAAAAGGACCCCAGTTTCAGTGTTTGATGTTTGACAAAAAACGGTGAGAGTGACTAAGTGAAAAACTGTTGCCTAATGCTATTTGCTTGTAACTGTAATTATATGTGTGGAAACTTGTGTAATAGAACAAATTGGCCCACCTGTTGGAGTTCAAGTAGTTTTAGAGGCAGATTGTGTTAAATAAAGCTCATTAAAGTCGAACTAACAGAGCTTCAGACAAAGCAGTGCCTCAAGTTAGCATCACAGGCCCAGGGAATGTTAATGATAGTGATAGATATTTGTATGGTCTCAATAATGCTCTAAAAGTACTCAAAAATACTTCTACTGTAGAAAATTACAGATGGATTTCTGAAGCTGCATCATAACATTTACAAAAAATACACAGCCAATTTTCTCTAAACATCAAACTGTAGCATAACTTATTTTTCCATCACCAGTTCTGACTCTCAGTTGTTATAATAAGGATAGTGTTTTGAAAAACTTTTAAGAATAAAGCCTCAATATGTGAGTCTAACTTTGTAATTAAAATTCCCAGCAAACAGAAAATAATGATAGGTGTGGCGCGACTGGGAAAATCCGCCATAAGTCATTAATTAGTGAATAAAGAATAACTGATGCCACATTAAACATTGTCGTAAATGTGTTTCCCCATGGGCAGTTAACTTGATTGTCTCAGACTAACTCTACTGTATAAAATGTTGTGAAACTGCAGACACACATTATAGGGCAGTAATCATTTTGTGTCACATAGTCTGAAAAACAAAAACAGTTTAATTATTTTCTTTGAGAGAAGGTCACATTTAGCAGACTGCAGTTGTCAGGCTTATTCAATACGATTTTTATTGGTTTAAGAAGTAGAAAGTACTGACCAAGCCTGGCACAAGATGAGGAGATGGGTCCCTGGGTGCTGCACTGAGCTCCAGCGGCACTGAAGGATGGGTCAAACGCAGAGGACACTTTACAGGTGCACTGCGCAACTTTTCTGGGTGAATGTCCGTCAGCTACTTTTCTCCATGAATGTTATTGCTTTCCTTGGAATGTTCCATGGCATGGCATTAAACATACCCATCTTTAAACATATCCATCTTGCATTTATTCATTATGGGTGTTGCTATTGCTCAAAAATTACAATGATTATTTTTGTGAATAGGGTCGACTTTCCACAGATCTGAATTGTAATGTAGTGTAGTGCTGTAACCTGCTTGTGTCCTAGACAAGCTGGCGCGAACTAGTGCCTCCGCTCAATTTCATTTCTCTCCAGGGACTAGGTCAGGAATTGGAATATTCGAGACAGTTTGCAAGAACCCCGGAAGTTGTAAACCGCGCACCGGCCAATTGGCGAAGAGCTGTGAAGCCATGACGTCAAACTCAAGTGCCTGTGTGGGTTCCTTTTGTGGTACAGCACAACAGTAAACAAAGCGGTCGAGATGGATGTAGACGAAGACATACATTATGTGTTGACAACGATTCCCGAGATCAAGGATTTAAAGCCAAAACAAAGAGAATGTTTGGTGAATTTTATCAAGGGGAAAGACGTTATTGCCCTTCTTCCTATGGGATTTGGTGCATTACATACGTCACCACCAAATAGCAGCGATTGGTTAAAAAAAGTACCCGCCTATCATTGAGCAAACGAATCCTAATGTTGTGAGGTCAGACGGTTTCCACAAAATGCAACCGTCTGATGAATCAGGCTACTTGTCTCCTGCCTCTGTGATAGACAAGTTTAATCAATATTGTGGAACATTCTAGACAAAGCAATAACATTTCCATGGAGACAAGCAGGTGCCAGATCCTCCACTTGAAGGTTACGCAGCACTTTTATACGGAGCCAATAACGTATATACGATATTATCACGATCTGTATCTCACGGTATGATATTTATTGTGATATTTTGGAGAGGTTAATATAATTGTACATAGGACCTTTTAAAATGCCTTGACAAGATTTTGGTGTGATTTTTCATAATCCCAAGAATTCAAGTAAAAAACATATCTCTTCATGTTGCCTGCACTGAAATGGATCATGGGATATGTAGTTTCCTATGTTTATAAGATGTTGCTACTGTAAAACCAAACATTTAAGCAAAGGAACTTGTAATTCAATATATTGTGACATTTTTGACGATACAATATCACAATATTTCAGTTATTGTTACATCCCTACTTAAAAGCATACATTCTTATCATCAGCATAGTCATCTCTCCACAGATCTGACTTGTAACTTGCCCTTATTGCGTCACTTGCTTGCTTCTTTGGAAATGGAAATGTTTAATGCCATCCTGTGGAAAATTCCAGGCAAAACAAAGACATATCCATTGAAAATGCACCACCAGGAGAGTTACACATTGCACCTTTAACCTTATTTGACCTTTCATTTCACAGTTTTGCCCGTTTGCCACTTACTTTATGTATCTAAGAATGAGTAGTGGAATGTAGTTTGAAGTATTCACTGTCTAATCTTTATTTCACTCAAGGACAAGGTTCACTGGATGCAGCTGCAGCGTAAGCAACCATGCATCCCCCTTTTACTGCATTTTATATTGCTGTGTGACTAGAAAGAGGACATTTTCAGGTTTTGCTATCTTCAGAGCAAAACGCTGCCTGCAGAGTGAGGAAAAATGATCTCTGCTCAAGGGCTACTCACGGTCATTTATTTACTGTCTATCACTTCACCAATAGGACGTGTGTGTGGGGACCCGGAAAAGCTGCTGTCTCCTGTCTTATCTGGGTTATGCAGAGAACGAAGGCTGCGAAGGGGCCACGGGCGACTGTAAAGATACCAAAGACTGGCTCCTAGCTGGTACCGTGTGCCCATTACACCACTGCAGGTCCAACTTCAAACACTTTTATAGTAGACCACAAGCGGCTTAGATGAATATGCATGAACGCGTGGCTCTGCTTTTGTGTACCCCACTGATAAAGCAGTTTGTTTTCATTAGCGTAAAGGTTATGCAATGTGTGTTTTGTTCGTTTGTTAAAAGTATTTGGTGGCTATAGGAGCGTAGCATTTTCAGACACTTACAGATACTTAGAAGACCTACATTACGCTAATTTCTGATCTATTATGATATTGTTTCCTCATTAAAACATACCTGGAGTAGTGTTTTGTTTCATTCACACGTTTAACACACAACCCCTGCATATTTAGGCTGTGTTCTTCTCTCAAACAGAAAACACTCTACTACTCTAGTGTGTTTTTAAACTCCACGCACCTTCAATATAATCATTTCGATATTTTCAGCCTCAAATTAAAGTAAGAAAGTAGTAATTTCTAATAAGTAGTATGAGTAGAAATAGTATAGTTGGAGCACTCGCTGGATCATCGCGGAAGTGAAATAATAATCAGGTGCTCTTTGGAGATCCCGAGTGGGCAGATAATTTAATGGATGGAAAAGTAGATCCGAGGAACTCCAATATGCTTTGCTGTTCATCCATTAACTAGTATGAATAATAAAAGACTACTCAAACATGTGCAAATGAAACAAAACACAACTTCAGGTATGTTTTTGAGGAGGTAACAACATTATAACATGGATAAACGTTCAAAAGAGTCCATTTTGTGTAATATAGGACCTTAAAGTGCATCTATAATATAGTTTTCTTATATTTTTTGCACTGTTTTCCTTATAGGGTTTCTGCTTTGTAATAGATGGATCCAAACTTAAATTGTTTTTCACTTTTGGTTATACGCATGGTTGAAACAAGAATCGATCAGCATGAAAAAAACTTGCCAAGGATTAAATTATTATCGATTCTGTTTCATTATTATTGGCAGCCACAAGAGGTCAGTAAAAGCACAAATAATTCATTTTACAGCCATTGAGCCATTCAGCCTCAACTGAAACATCAAGATCATAGTGACCGTAACAGATCTGAGTAACCAGTTGGCCTTAGTTGACTTTCTTAAAAGTATTCAAGATTTGGCAAACAAGAACAAAAATAATATTTGTCCACTAATAATTTTAAGTTGCTGCTACTTACTTGATAGAAAATGTTTCTAATAAGCTTTTTGTGCTTTTTTCAAAATTTTAATAAATGTACATAAAAGAACAAATGGTCTGTTAGGTTCTACAAATTTTTTTTTAAAACAAATACCTCAAACATTCGAGTGAGCTTTGTAAATAGACCATTTGGACCATCGCTTTTCAAATTTAGCAGCTTTCAGTCTCAAATAATAGGTTATTTTTTCCATCCCATCAATTTCCTCCATTATATCTGTCCATTACTGTAATTTTAAAGGGTCATCCTTCAGCCAGTTCCTTGTTATTACTTTCTTACTAGCCAAGAGCATCACTTTAAACAAATAAAATTCCTCCGTTCGAATGTCGTTTTAATGCAACAAGCCCAAGTACTTAACCTGTGGGTCAATGGGTGTTTTATAGCCAAATACCTCTTCCATTACAATTGCAATATTTTCTCAAAAGGATTTAATTTTAATACATTTCCAGGACACATGAGAATGATCGGCACTCCATTCACCACACCGTCTAAAATTTCAAGTTCTTAAATTGTTTTGATACTAATACTAATACTAATACACTCGATTCTCAGTACCAATTCCGATACCAGAATGATAATTAAACACTGGTTCTTTAGATAACAGAAGGCACTTTTATCATCATCTTACCATCTGGCCTTAAATCTGTGTAATCCCTCAGTCCTCCAGGTAGGTTCCACAGTGGTCCATGGGCGTATACTGGTTTTATATAGTAGTACTTGTTCTGATACAGCTCAAGATCTAGCTCAGGATTCTAAAACTATTCAGGAAAGGTTCATTTCTGTTTACTTGCTCTGCTCGTTTCTGATTTTCAGTACTTTTGACAACCCTACTTCTTAATGACAGTTTTTCATTAGGCACTAAATTGTCTAAATATTGCCAAAAATCAATTGTATAATCAGATTTTCCATTTCAAACACTCGTCTGGCATCAATTATGAAATGTACCTTTTGTCCGATTAGATTAGACTCGCGACGTTTCTCTTCCAGTATGGCCCGCAGTTTCTCATACTCAGCTGGTCTGTACTTGGGGCTGTTACTGAAGCCATATTTCATCCGTATTGTCAGTCTTTCTGCATGGATGAAAGCAAATGATATGAATTAAAATCACTGGAACTGGCTGGAAATCTTATCGTTTCTGATGTTGGAGGAAAACTCTTCTTCGCCAGCTCAGCACAGAAAGAAAAAAAAAAAGCATCAGTATTCAGTATTCAGGGAGGCAAAGGGAGCAGAGAGCGAACTGTGCAAGAAACATTTGAGTAGTTCAGCTGTGGAGTCACACTGACAGGTGAATAAACACAAGTCTAAAGTGGGGTTTGACAGAAGACAAGACAGTTACCAAGACAATTCAACTACTTGGGGTTGAAAGGGCTACACTGTATAGTACAGCACAGTATAGTACAGTGTGGTAAATGTACTGTAGTTTTTGCTGACGTACCAACATCGTCTGCATTGTGCTTGGTGATAAAAGTACGAGGATCTTTCCCGCTCATCTTTGGAAGTAACTTGTGTTGGAGAGCACTGAAGAAGCTGTACTGTGATAAGATAAGAGACAATAAAACACAGAATACAGTATAGTTAGGCAAAGATTCACACACTTTTACAAAATTGCACATTATTTGTTATTAGTATTTTGTTAAAGCTGTACCATGTAACCTTTCTAGTGGAGGGTCTGACACCAGCTTGTCCCCATTACAGTTATTATAGCTTTGCCTGGAGGGTAACAGTATTTATTCAATTACAGGCTATATGCCTAAAAATACCCAAACATTTTTTTGTGTCAGTGGTTTCATTTGTTTGTCTCCGTGGACATAGATAAGTTTAATGACATACTATGGAACATTTTGGGGAAAGAAATAACTATGGTAAAGACAAGCTAGTGACAGATCCTCCACACAGTCACAAAGTTCAAATTTATACAAAAAGCAGCAGAGGCACAGACACTTTGCCGGACTGTCTTAACCCAGTTTAATAAAATATAATAATGCAGATTTAATTAAATGTTTGTAAGTGTTAAATAATTTTACACTTTATTGCTTTTAGGTGGTATATATTATAATGTCAAAATGAAAAACACATTCCAGTTAAACTACTAAAGTCATACTGATCATTTTGACCAGACAGCAAAGAAGTTAATCTCACATTACGATATTATCACAATATGCATCTCACAGTACGATATTTATTGCGATATTTTGGAGAAGCTATTGTAGATAGGATACTTATTGCTTTTAAAATACCTTAACAAGACTCAATGCAAATCAATACTGTCATAATCCCAAGAACTAAACTTAAAAAAAACAAAAACAAAACAATTACTTCATGTTGTCTGCATTGAAATGAATCATGGTATATGTAGTTCCTTATGTTTCTTAGCTGTTACTACTATAAAACAATGCATTTAAGCAAAATAACTTGTGATTCGATATATTGTGACAGCTCACGATATTATTGAAAGACCTTTTACAAAACAATATCATGATTTTTCGATTATTGTTACATTAGGGTGACCAGACGTCTCTATTTACCCGGGACAGTCCCAGTTTTGAGTCCTGTGTCCCCTGTCCAAGCAGATTTTTCCCAGTTTTGTACAAGAATTGCCCCAAGCGCCAATATTTTTAAGCAGTTTGATCCCTGCCAACAGTAATGAGAAGCATAAATTCACATCTGTTTAGGTAAAATACAGAAAAACTACTTAAAAATGACCAAAACACAGAGAAAATGTGACTGTACTGACTCACATTAGTGCCGAGTTTAGAACAATTTTCCTTAATTACGCAATCATTTCACAATTTTATTATTCCCAACCAACCCAAACCAGGGATGTCCTAGTTTTTTTTTTTTTTTATTTTGGAAATCTGGTCACCCTATGTTACATTCCTAGTTAGGACACATTAGCTAACTAGCCCAAAACCTGCAAAACACGTGCGTGCTCACCCCAGTTTCACCCATAATGTTAAAATATGACACCACTGCAACAAAAAATTAGCATTTCATATTTCCGTAAAACAAAACTCATGTCAGGCAAAGCACACGAGCCCTTGTGAGTGGGGCAATTATCGAAGAACGTGCAATTTAGCTTACCTTTCAGTGGCACGGTACAGTTGACAAATTTTGTAACCAAGGTAACAGTTTTCTTTGCCCGCGATTGGCTCATTCATCACCAGGACCCGCCTTAGCCACGCCCCGCTTTCGGATTTGGACCAATCAGGAGTGCGCGGCGCTTTCCCACATTCAGCCTGACGTCATGCCCGCTCGCAGTGCCTGGGACCGCTGTGGAGCAGGGAGCAGCGCAGGGTCCTCTCCTTCTTCACGAATATGGAGCCGAGTTTCACTGTTCTTCCTCGCGCATGGGACTAAACCACGGGACATATGAAGTTAGATTTTCCAATGTAGACCCGAGCCGGAGCTCACCCAGCGCAACCACTGTCCTCCAGAGGTATTTGCTCGCTCATTTGACTAATAACTGCATGGTAATTTCGGGGGAAAATGTGGGGAAAACGAAAGCATCTGCGCGCCAGGCATGCGGGCTGCTAGTTTCTACTGTGGAAAAGTGTCTTGCGAGAAAGTAGGGAGTTTTGTGTTGGATTTTTGCGCTTGGAGACGCATCTACTTTTTGCAAAAATCTTTCTCTTGTGACCATTTCATCGCCAACAACGCACACCTTTTGAGAGAGAGGAACCTTGAGGCGCTGGCTGTCTGTCTTGGCACGGGGGCAGAGGAGGAGTAGAAGGGAGTCGGGATGAAAACTTAGCAGCGCGCACGGTTAAAGGGGAAAAAAGAGCCGTTCTTTTCACGAGTAGACCGGTGCAAGTTTACTGCTGAATGCTCACTTCTTTGACTGGGCGTCATTGAAGGCGTGCTGCTGGTAAAGTGGCCAGTGCAGGTGAGCCGTGAGCGTGAGAATCCCAAGAATGCATGCGAGGTTGCCGAGGGGCGGAGAGATCCAGACTGTTCACACAAGATAAGCTTACCTTTTACTCACGTTTGGGTCACAATCAAACCTCAAACTACTACGCCATATTTAATAACACTAATCTGCATTACAACTACGGGCGTTTCTGTGCAGAGACATGCGTAAAAGTCGTGCCATTTGCGTTGTGACCTAGCTTTTAAAGATAAGATTATTAAGGCGTTTTTTACTTAATCTTTTGAGGGTATAGTACAAAATGACTCTTAACACATTGTCATGCATTATATTATTATCCTTGCCTAGTTGTCACAAATACTAGCCTATATATCGCACAGCATGTCCTTAGAGATTGTCCACTCATTGCCTTGTCCTATTTTTAAGCGCCAAAATAGCTTATATCTTGTCTTCTCCAAGCGTAATTCTAAAGGGAGTTGCCTTTTTTCATATTTAATCCCTCAAAGTCATGTTTAACTCCGCTTAAAACTTGAAAGAGAGCTCATTTAATTTTGTTTTGGTGATAATCTTCAAAGGTGACATTCTCTGGTAGTCTTTATTTGAAAAGATTGTTGATTGTTGAAGTTGGAAGTCATTTATTGGCAGATGTGCAAAGGACCAAATTCTCACATTTTCCAAGTCTGTGAAATAAGATGCTTTCTCCTCCTATTGTCACTCCAACAAGGAAGAATGAACTTGGTAACGCATCTTGTGATTCCCATTAGCCCGTGGTGAGACAGATACCAACCAGCTGATGACTATGACTGAGCAAAAACAAGATTCTAACCTCTGCTTTAAATACTTTGAGTTTTGCTTGTTTAAAATCTGTAGTTTTTTTGCAGGTCATACTTATTGACACTTTCATTTGTCATGGTCCTTTGAGTCCCTCCCCTCTGCAGCACAAACTTGCAGTACATTTTGCCTGAAACGTTTTGTTCTGATTTCCAGGTCATGGATGAATATTATCAGAAAGCAATGTGCACACCTTTGCTCTGTTGACACACTCACCAGTGGCCTCTTGGAAGTGTGCCATGAAACAAATCCAGGATAGGATACTCCCTATTGACTAGAATGCATGGAGAATCATTAAACAAATACAGTGTAGGATACTCCTATTGATTAGAATGCACAGAGAATCAAAATAAATTAACAAATGGGGCACTTTTAGATTTTTTTTTTACAGAATTCTGAAAAAGTAAATATCCATTTGGTTTGTCCTTTGCTTTCCTAAATTTCCAGTATATTTTTTTATTTTAATTTTTTCATGAAACAAATTCTCAGTGCAGGATAATTATTAACTAGTATACATGGAGAATCGGCATAAATTAATAAATGGGGCACTTTTAGATTTTTTTTTTTACAAAATTCTGAAAAAGTAAATATCCATTTTGTTTGTCCTTTGCTTTCCTAAATTTCCAGTATATTTTTTTTATTTGTACTTTTTCATGAAACAAATTCTTAGTGCAGGATACTTCTTAACTAGTATACAAGAGAGTCTGCATAAATTGACAAATAAGGCACTATTACATTTTTTTACAGAATACTGAAAAAGTAAAAATCCATTTTGTTTGTTTTCTGTCTTACTCAATTTTCAGTATTTTTTTTTATTTTTAAATTTTCATCCAATGTTGGTGCTTCCAAGATGTTGCTTTAAACCACTTTAAACTTTCGCTCTGGTTTCTCATGCATGCTTACAAGCAAACTGAAGACTTGTTCACGCTGACATGTTAGTTTGACCCACTCTTCACTGTAAGTTCTTTTTAACACAAAGTGACAACCGCAAAATAGTTTAGCGCTGTTCGGCAGGGCTTCGCATCTCTTATTTTTTCATCCCCTACATTTGGCCCAGCATCAAGGCTTAAGCCCCTCACCCCTATGTTTTATGTCAGATTAGCCTTTTTCTGCGATGATCAAACGTTGCTTCTCACTATTTCTTATTATTCTCTCTTCTCACTATTCTTCTATATGGGCCTGTCATGATAACAAAATTTTAAGCTTGATATATTGCTACAGGTACAGTATATATAACAATAATATTGAAGCTACTCTGTGCCACTGACACTAAAGCAGTAAAGCAGGATAATCCCAGTAAATCATATTTTAAGTATACGGTATTATTAAAAAGCCTAAGCCATAACAAATAAAGTGGCAGAATCAAGTTACTTATTGCAGGGGATAAATATTGAACCCAAATATATATATTTTTTGAGACATTTATTAAATGTCTTTAAGTTTTTCCACTGTGATCCTGATGACCACCTGATCTTATACTTAAAGGTTCATTGTATAACTTTTCTGGTGGAGGGTCAATTAGATGCTTTTTTGGTAGTAAACCTTTCTATCTTCATGGAGACCATACCAGACCAAGTTACAGGTCAGATCTGTGGAGAGGTGACCACGCTCACAGTCAGAGTGCCTGTTTTTCTAGGTATTTTGAGCTATAAAACCAGCCTGATTCATCAGCCGGTTTCACTTTGTGGAAATCGTCTGACCTCGCAGCATTAAGATTCATTTGCTTGTCGGTGGGAACTTCTTATATTTAACCAATCCCTGCTATTTGGTCGTGACATATGTAATGTGCCTGTAACGGAGCTAGCTGGTATATTAAGCTTTTCCCAAATCTCTTAGGAAAAAGGGCAATAATGTTTTTCCCTTTGATAAAATTCACCAATCATTCTCTTTGTTCTGGCTTTAAATCCTTGATCTCGGGAATCATTGCTAACACTGAATGTTTGGCTTCGTCTACATCCATCTTGACCGCTTTGTTTACTGTTGTGCTGTACCACAAAAGGGACCCAGACAGGCGCTTGAGTTTGATGTCATGGCTTCACAGCTCTTCACTGATTGGCCGGTACACGGTCTACAACTTCCAGGGTTCTTGCAAACCATCTAGTGTATTCCGATTCCTGACCTAGTCGTTGTAGAGAAATACAATTGAGCGGAGGTACTAAGTGACGCCAGCCTGGCTTCTTTAAAACCACCTGTAATCATAAATGTAAAGTAGATCTCCTTAATGTCATAATGTGGAACATTCCAGGCAGAGCAATGACGTATCCATAGAAACAGGCAGGTGACAGACCTCCAACCAAAAAGTTACATAGTGTACCTTTAAATGACCCACTGAAGCACTGATCTTCTCTTTAAATACATTTTCCGAGCTTTCATATATTAAACGATAAGTCGATATAGTAATTCCTGTGACAGGCCTTACTTCTATACAGAAAGTGTTCGTGGCTTTCCTTTTGGCTCATGGAAATTGCCTTTTTTCTTGCCTCTGTGCTGTGTGCATGCATGTGTGGAGAAATGTGTGGAGAAATATCAAGCTGTTCCCACAACAAGTCAAGAGAAGGTCAGCGGCCCTTCTGCGCAATTCAATCAGTCAAGTGCTTTCACAAGTGGACCCTACTCTGGGTGGTAGTCAACATTTGTGTTTGAATTTTTTATTTTTTTTGGCCATTTTTTGACAAAGTATTATGTTTGTGTCCTTGCCGCTCACTGCACAGTCAATTTCTCAACCTTTCGCTATTATTAATTTTGTTTGGTTTAGTTCAAAGGTGACAACAACATATTAAAGGTACACTGTGTAACTTTTTGGTTGGGGATCCGTCACCTGTAGAGCTGAGTATCATTAAGAAGTTGCAGATAGAGTACATACCTTGATACATAGGCCACGATATGGTATGGTTCAATACAAAATAAAGCCTAACTCATGGCTATCTGTTAAACCACTTCTCGTGCAAAGTTCATATGAAACACACCATTTTAATCCTCAAAACAGTGAAAATATTGTGTCGCAAAAACAAGTTTCCTTTTTCTAAACAAGCAACAAAACTGTTATCCAGGCTGGCGTCACCTAGTGCCTCCGCTCAATTTCATTCTCTCCAGCGACTAGGTCAGGAATCAGAATACACTAGACAGTTTACAAAAACCCCGGAAGTGCGAGTTCGGGCGCATTCAGTGTTGGCAACTATTCTCAAGATTGAGGATTTAAAGCTGGAACAAAGAAAATGTTTGGTGAATTTTATCAAGGGGAAAGATGTTATGGCCCTTCTTTCTACGGGATTTGGGAAAAGCTTAATATACCAGTTATCCCCGTTAGAGGTGCATTACATACGTCACAACCAAATAGCAGCGATTGGTTAAATGATAAAAAGTACCCGCCTACTGTCGAGTGAACGAAATCTAACACTGCAAGGTCAGACGGTTTCCACGAAGTGAAAACGGTTGATGAATCAGGCTACAAAACTGTAGCTCTGTGACAAAATAATTTATTAAAATGTACCAAAAAATACTCTTGGCGATATATCGATACAGCAGCCCACAATATCGATACTGTGTCATCACATTAAGCGATACAATATATTGATATTTCAATATTTTTGCACACCCCTAGTACCTGGTTGTTTCTATGGATATGTCATTGCTCTGTCTGAAATGTTCCACAGTATGACATTGAACAGTTTTACCTTACGTTTATTCAATCAGAGGTGGTTTTATAGCTCAAAAATACCTAGAAAAACAGACATTCTGAC